TTTGTTTCTGTGAAGCAACAAACTGTACCACTGTGCCCAAGACAAATTTCCCCTCGAGGACAATAAAGTTTATTCTATTCTATTCTATATAAAGCTGCAAAAATTGACACAATTAGCACTCTGCCTGATCATCAGTAGGCTTCCTCGGTGTAGTGGTGGCTAGGCTGATATATATGCTAATTGAATCACATATATCAATATTTGCTTAGAAAATATCCCAAATGATATTTGAACTCAAAAACATTATTGTGGAACATTAGTAAATCTAAATTAGTAAAGTATCTAAAGGTGGCATTAGAAATCAATAACTTGTTTTATTTACAAATCTTTAGACATTTTTCCAAATACAGTCTTTTTTCATTAAACTTAAGACTATCAGAGTGTAAACAACAGATCATTACATTTGGCCATGTCTCATTACTGAATTTACTATTACTGTGTGCTCACATTCTTTCATCCACTGTGTGAAAGTGATAAAAGCAAATAACGAGTCTTTATTTACCACTTAGTCAAGATGGAATGTTTTGGCAATAAGGATGGCAGATAAGTCCAAAGCTGAGTAGGTGACCAGGGCTTCAAGGGGTCCAGTGAGAGGAGAAGCAGTCCAAGGAATGGTGGTCCACAACAAATGACTACATTTGAAAGTAATCTGACCCAACACTGAGTTTAGTTGCCTGTACCTGCTGTAGCTAGGGTGTTAATCTCATACACAGCTATAAATCTGCCTTTAGCCTTTGGGTTTTCCAGTAAAACTTCATTAGGCTGCAGTCCTACGTCTTTTAAACATTGCCCCTTTCATAAATGTGTCTACTTAAGTTTTCATTAGAAAGCTCAATCTTTGTGTTTTACTGTGTAAAAACCATTAACCCTGCACTCATACTGTACTGCACTGTATGAGGCTTTCAGTTTGGTCCACATGTCATGCTGAATCTGTCATGCTCTTTAAAAAATTAACCTCAAATATAAACAGAGTCAGCAGTGATTTAGCAGGCCTACAAAAGGTCCCCTCCAAGTTCATCTCATAATAAGTCACATTAACACAGACTGAGTTTGCCTTTAAAAGCTTTGACATGGTGTCGTCCAGGGCCAGGGTTGACATCGCTGTGTTTCTTCTCAGACTGTTTGCTTTGGTACGGTATCACTGTTGATGTGATGAGTAGAGGCCAGAGCACTGTGACTTTCTGATGGGTGTTTATTTTAACCAGAATGCCAGCCAAAATGTTTATTCCACTGATGCTAAGCAGACATAGGACTGTTCAAGTGCTGCATTTTAGAGAGAAGCCAACATTCCCGCCCCCCTTTTGTATTATGCCTGTCTTATACCAAGTATGGTCATTATTACATTAAACCGAGAACTGCCCTGCCAAAATACACAACTTCTTTTGTCATCAGCTTTAAATATTTAAGCAAGCCTCCAGCTCCATTAGAAATAATGGATGATAATGGATGATAAATAATAATAAACACTTGCATCAGCTCTATCTGATCTAAAACTGAATTAAGTTATAGGATGTCACCCTACATTATTGAGCAGATTACTTTAAGATCACACCACTGTTTTTGTCAGTGTGCTGATTCAATACAACTTATGACTAAAAGCCATGATGACTTTGTTGATCCCCTAACTCCTCATGTCACCATGAGAGTGACATTGTTTATTCTGAGTGACTATTTGATGGATTGCCATAAGGTTTGGTATAGATGTTAATGCTCACCACAGGGTGAAAAGTCTAAAGTCCCCCTCCAGTCAGAAATCAGTGTATCTTCTTGTTCCTATAGTGTTATGTTTGTATGGGTGAAAGTTTCTCTGTGCTCATTGAAAATCAGATTTGAAGGAGTGGGGCCTACCAGCATGATGTGTGACATCAGAAATAGTTTTGAAGTCAGTCCTAGTCCAAACATGAAGGTCTACTAGTGCATAAGCACGTAAACAGACTGTACTTATAGCGCCTTTCTTGTTTTCCAACCACTCAAAATGCTTTTTCATTAATATTCACATATTTTGTAGTAAGTATCTTATTTCTTAAGGATACTTTGGCATGCAGCAGGAGCAGCCAGGGATCAAACCAACAACCTTCCGATCAGTGGATGAGCCACTGCACCTCTGAACCACAGTGGACTTTCCAGTGAAAACTTTAGAATTAAACATATTGCATATTCATAAATTCTAAAAAATCTTAATGAGGTAGAAGGAGTAGATAACTTCCGAAGGATTTTAATATGGAAATTAGAAAAAATAAGAAATAAGTTTAATAACTTTGATGACCACTGAACCATTCATATAATACATGTGAAATACTTGCTGAAAAAAACTACTGGTCACCGGTGAAAAGTCAGATTGGTTCAAAAGTAAAAAATTATTTTCACCGACTATTTGAAGACATTGATTAAGTGTTCATAAATGGATCATATTTCACACAGCTTTGCAAAAGTAATGCAAATTAAAGCTGCAAGCAGGGATGAACGGGCCCTCGCACTCGACGCAACTCGGGGTGTGCTGCGGCCGCGTCACATGCCAGCGTAACACTTGCGAACCAACACATGAAAATTTCACGTAAATCAGATCAAAATCGCCATGCAGAGCTTACTTCCTGTTGCCAGTAGGTGGCACTATCACTATATCTAAATGTAATGTAGTATGTAATGTAGACGTGTTCATGGCGGGACTCTTATCAGATGTGAAGTTTAGTGAAAATGGCTGACTTTGACGCCACACCTTGGCAACTTTTAATCAGCAACATTTTT